AGCTAATTGCACCATCATCCCAGAAAAATATGACCACCGACAGCAATTGCTCTATAGATGATAAATATAACACAGGATTGATCATTTTTTAAGTAATTGTGAGATTTTATCAGTGGCGGCTGGCCAATAGAGGGCACTAGGGCGCCACCCCACCCACACAATGGCCCTGGTTAAGACGTAAAAAAAAAAAGATATATACATATATATATATATATACTGGTGTGATAACTTAGTATACGTTTGGAGCTAAAGATTTCATGTATCAGAAATAACAAATTTGAAGTTAATAGGAAAAAGAGAACATATTTCAGCAAACATTTTTATCTAGCCGTGGATCCCTTTCAGGGCCTCTTCATCCCAGGAACATATCTGTGCCTCTAACACACTCACCCCTTCAGCCTTCTCCTGGGTGTTGGCCAGCATCTCCTGAAGGGCTCGTACTGACAGAGACTGCTCCAGTACAAAGGTGCAGATGGAGAGATCTGGAGGCACATTCTGGAAGGAGGACACAGAGTGAAGGATGGATGTTTGTGGGAAACAGCCAGACAAACAGTCAGTCTCTAAAATATCTGAAGCAATGGATGGCAGAGGCTTTTCCTTCCTGCCTTTATCACGATTCTGTTTTATCTGGATTTGTTGGGAGAACGGTAACATGTTTCCCAATATCACAAAGTCTGTATTGATCCATCCATTTTCCATCACGCTGCCCGGCCAGCGGGATACCACGCTCCAGCTTGCTTGACGTTGCCATGACAATGTAACTTATGTTGATTAGGCCTCAAAATAACTAAATTAAAATCCCAATACATGTAATAATAAATTTAAAAAAGGCAAAATCATTTCCCAAAATATTAATACATTTTGCAAAGTATTTTCAATATATTTTTTTTCTAATCTCCCTCTCACCACTAGGTTGCGCTGCAGCATCCCCAGCACCCCCACTTCCCGCGGCCATGCATAAAGCTGATGTTGTGGATCGATATTTAATTCTGCAGTGATGGAATTGGGTGTTAATAATTTAACCGATATATGATCAGTATGGATTAATGTATCGTTACTCTGTTAATCTAAATGGTTCAGTCTCACTATCTATTATTAGATTTAGTTTTCAATTGTTCACCATGTAAAATAATTCAGCTGATATCAAAATTATAACTGTATCAGTCAATCTATCAGTTGGTGATTTTAATCATAATTAATCAGATTGTTCCGTGCATTAAAGTCTCTCTATGTACCCAAAATCTGCAGTTTAAGCTAACAGGCTGTGCAGGCAGCGTCCGCTCTGTTAGCTGTAGTTTAGGTTAACTCACTTTAATCATCTGTTTCTTCTGCATACATCCCACCGCAAACCACCGAGCACAAACACAGAACTACATCCTGGAAGAACGCTGCATTTAAAATATGTAAATATTTGGAAACAGTTTGGATGCCTCTAAATCATCTAAAAACTTTTTCTACCAGAACTTCTATGATTATTTTTACAAGCCCGAAGGCTTCATCCTTTAACCTGCTGATCCCTTTAAATGCCATTAGTTATTCTATTCTATTCAGTTTATTTCTATAGCTCCAATTCACATCATGTCATCTCAGGTCTCTTTCCAGCTCACCAGATCATCCAGTCAGATTGATTCAAAGTTTTATATCTAAGGAAAACCAGCTGATTGCATCAACTCATTGACTCAGAGACAATCCTTCCCTATTCTATTCTATTCTATTTTAGTTTATACTATTTTGTTTTATCCTATTTTAGTTTATTATATTTTATTTATTTATATTTAATTTAGTTTAATTTAATCCATACACTTTTTCCATCACACTTATCCCAGCTGGGGTCGTGAGGGTATAAAGGGTTATTTGTGCATTGTATAAGTGTGAATTTGAATTTGTAGAGAGAGTGACATCATATCATTTGTAGTAGTAAGAACTACATTTTAGATATCTGAAATGTTCATTTTGACCAGGAAGAAATTGATTTGAGACACCTGGATTACATATTCGGTCAGCTAATAAATGCCAAATTGGCCTGCCATATTTTCCTCGGAACGCAACAGGGCAGTTGGCCAAAAAAGTATTTCAGGTTGGTAAAGACTGCGCCCAAGCAGCGCCCCCTGCTTTCCGATCAAGGGTACTACCCACAAGTCACAGATCATTTTT